ATTTGTTGTTGAGTCATTATATTGTTTAAACCTTGTACATTTAATGTTCCAATTTGTATAAATTTTTGAGAGTCAGGATTTTATATTTTTGACAGTTCTGATCCCGATGTAAGAGAATTATCATTTGTTTCTGAAAAGTCTGTGTTAGAATTTGATATATCAGTTATGGAAGAGGTTGTATTGATTTGATTGTTGAATATGAATTCTTCTATTTCTTGATTCCGTTTAATGGAGTTATTGACTTCATTTTCTTCTATTGAATTGTTTGTAATTTTGGAAAAAAGAGAGGTAAGAGAAAGGTCTTGATCAGAATTTCAAATATTGTTGTATTTATCATCATCATTGTTATAATTGTGGTCTATTATTGAGGTTTGTGGTGGTGTATAGGTTGAATCATAACTTCCTTTATTAGATTCTTTATATTTTCGGGATAATTTATTGGTGATATAATGATTTGATATCTTAATTTTTTTATTTTTTTGTATTTTTTTATTAGTGAATGACTGTGGTCAGAATTTTGATTATTATTTGTTTTTTGTTTGTATATTGTATTACGCTTATAAAGTGAATTAGTTTTCAGAGAAAACCATTGTGTATTTATTTGTGTTTTGTTGGATATGAAAAAACTCTTTTGAGAGTTGTGCAAAGTTATAGTATCGGTGAAATGTTTTGACAGTTTCGTTAATTTTTGTTTTATCTGTTATTGAAAGTATTACTGTTTGTTTTGTTTTGTTTGCTAAGTCAATAATTACTTTATCTACTGAGAGGAGTTCATCTTGTGGAGTGTAATTGGTTAAAATTCAATCTTTTGGAAATCTGTCAAACTTGTAATGCAGTCTTAATTATTTGACTGTGTATAATATTTGAGTTCTGTTAATTGGTAAATTGGTGTTAGCTACTCTATTAGCTGTATTCATATCTGTAGGAAGAGAAGGTCTGGTGTCTGCTTCTAAATTGATCCATTCTTTAGAAAGTTTATTAGTAGTAAATGTATAATTTTTCTTCAGAGTTTCTGTTAAGAGTTGTATATCTTCTTTTCTGGTAATTGGCAGAGTGATATTCTTTGGAAGGTCTGATATATCTACATGTTTAAGATGTTCTGGTAATTCAGTATGGATAAAGAAATATGAGTCTGGTAGTTTTCCATCGAACCTATATTCTTTTCTCAATGCACCTAGAATGTCGTAGAATGAGATATTGTCCGAGACTGTTGCTCTGTTCCATGGGAGATATTTTCTAATATCTTCTTTCACGTTGTTATAGTCTTGTGGTAGTTCTGACTTTTTCTTTATCTGTACATAGTTATTTGGAAGTTTTGTAGATAAAGTATAAAATTTTCGTAGTTCTTGTTTATATTCATATATTTCTTTCATTTGTTCTTTAGTTTGTATTGGTAATTTTGTTTTACATAAGAGTTCATCTCTTAGGTTGATGAAGTTTTGTGGTAATGGTTCTTTTGGACAATAGTATTCAATTGGCAAAAAGCCAAAGTTATATCATTTATGCAATACTTGTAATACCTCTGTTAAGTATATGTTATTTCGAAGTGGAAAGTTTACTTTTAGAAGTTCTGCTATTGTTTCGTTATGCAAGTTAGTAGGGTCTTCGGGTAAAGGATGTTTAGCTGATTTGAATTTATGGAAGTGTTTCACACATTGTCTGATGAATTGGGTATAGTTAAATTCTATTTTGTTAGGTCTTTTATATGATGGTAGGATGAAATTGATTGTGTATATTATAAGTTGAGCCATGTCTCTTCCTCCCCAATTTTTTGAGAAATCTATACTATGTAAATAGCACCATATAATTTTTGTTCTCAAGTGATTTCGTAATTCGCTATGAAGTTGGGGGGAGAGAGTTTTATTGTTATTAATGTTATTTTTGTCTTTGAATTATTTAATTTCTTTTCTAATAGTATCAGCCATTCTTTTATGTAGTCTGGAGCATCTTCTAAGTTGTTTGGTGATTTACGAAATATAGTTTTGTCTTTGTTATATTGCAAAAGAAAAATCCTTAATACTTCTTTTTCAAAGGAAACCACACTTCTTTCAGAGTTTGTTAAATAGTTTAACAGTATTAAGGTATTTCTGGGTTTAGTCAAATATTGTGTATAATTGTTTATTGTGATTGGTGGTAAATTGTGAATAGAACTTTCTAGGTCATTTTTTAGATTTAGATTTTGTGTATCATTAATTATCATATCTAAAAATCTATGATTTGTTATTGGTATTGTATTTGTGTTGGTTGCATATTTGTTTTGTGTTTTTTGTATATTAAATCAGTTTTGTGTTTCATAGTTGTGTCACGTAATTGAAGTTCTTTGTTTGTCAACTGAATTATTTGCCTGCTGATCATTTTTAGGAGGTGAGAGAGTTACACATTTTTTTGAGGGTGCAGGAGAGTTTTCGCGAGAAGAATTAGAAGAAGTGTTTAGTGAAATATAGTTTGTATTTTCTAAAATGACTGTTTCTTCTATTAAGTTGATAGCATTGATATATAGTTCTTGATCTTCCTAGTTGAGTGTTATGTTGTCCATGCTATTTGTCACTTGCTTTACTTTTTTTTGTTGTAGGTAAGAAGGAATAGTGTCAAAGGTTTGAGCTACAGCTGTAAATTTTCTTGTGTTATAAGAGATATTAATATTATTAAAGGTAACCAGCACTGCGTATTCAGGGTTATCGATAATGTTTTCTGTGAAGGTAGTTTGTTTTTGTTGTTTATAAGTTGTGAAAAGGAAAAAAGTAGGAAATTCTAGGACTCTTGGAAGTGTAGTAGTTTTTCTGAAAATGTCATGTTTTGTAACTTTATTTGTTTTTTGATCTTTCAAGAAGAGGACTGCTAGGGCTTTTGATGTCGAAGTATTTTCTTCAGGAGGTTGAACTCCTAGAAAAATTTTTCATCTCTTGCGTCCATAAGATTTTTGAATTTTTTTTTTTTTAATATTTTACTTATAAACTAAAAAGTTTTATATGTAACAACTATTGATAATTATTTCTGATCTTATGATATAATTGTATTATAATTATGACATTACACCACAATTGTGACATTGTGACAAAATAGTTGCAACTAGGTATGGAGTTGCAACTCATGAAAATAATTATGGTAGGTATCTTTAAATAATAATACATTTCTCTAAAAAGAAAAAAAAATAATTTTAAAAATTTTATATTATATAGCTTATTAATATTAATCATTGTTTTAATGTAAATAAAATATGTAATATTATGTATATAAATTTTTCTACATAATTGAACTAGAATATTAAATTGACTTTTACAATTAGTGATGCATTTTGTAAGTTGGAAATCAGACCTTTAGATTGCACATTATCTATTAAACACATGATACTTAGAAATGGTGACGAAATCGTCCAATCAACTTCTAAGTCACATGACAAAAATTCAATATTAACTATTAATAATCGAGTTGAAAGATAATCTTTTATTCCGAAAAATGAAAAAATTTATAAACTTTTCGAGATTTTCGAAATATAATACAGTATGTTTATATATTTTCAATTATTATTTAACGAAATTTAAGGAACTTATGCTAATCAAGTTTTACAGGCTTTTTTATGCAACGCACGTTCTCTGAGCTCTACACCCTCGAATAGAACACAAGTGCAGACTGTCGCGCCTTCCTTAACTGGTAAACCGATATCAAAAAATGAACCTCTACTAAATAGCTTTTCAATTTATCGTTGGGTAATTTAAAATACTAATATTAATAATGAAATAAATATTAATAAAAAAATATTAAATTTTGATAAACATTTTGTAAATTAAATGTAGAATCCTGATAATCCTGCAGAAAAACCACGTTTACAACAGTATCAAGTGGATGTTAATTCATGTGGTCCCATGATTCTTGATGCGTTAATAAAAATCAAAAACGAGCAAGATGCTACATTGACATTTCGTCGTTCATGCCGTGAGGGTATCTGTGGTTCATGTGCAATGAATATTAATGGAATAAATACTTTAGCTTGTTTGTCCAAGATTGATCGTAATGCAAAATCCACGAAGGTTTATCCATTGCCACACAGTAAGTTACAAAAATAAATCGTAATTTTTGTTAAATTAAATAGATTGTGATAAAATTATGTTATTTTATATTTGTATCATAGTGTACGTCGTTAAAGATCTTGTTCCAGACCTTACGCATTTTTACAAACAATATAAATCCATTGAACCATATCTTAAAAAAAAGGTACAGCCAGAAAAAGGAAAAGAAAATTATCAATCGATAGCCGATCGCAAGAAACTTGATGGTCTTTATGAATGCATTTTGTGCGCGTGCTGTTCCACTGCTTGCCCAAGTTACTGGTGGAATGCAGATGAATATTTAGGGCCAGCAGTCTTAATGGCAGCTTATAGATGGATGATCGATTCTAGGGATGACTATGGACATGAGAGACGAGAAGCACTTCAGAATCCATTTTCTGTTTACCGTTGTCACACTATTATGAATTGTGCTAAGACATGCCCCAAAGGCTTGAACCCAGGTCGTGCTATTGCCATGATCAAGAAAGAAATGGCATTAGAGTAAAAACATTTAAATTTACTATTAACCATTAGAAATAGACAGAATGATATATAATTTATTGGATCATTGGGAAATTATATTTTTTTTCATTTATTTTTTAAATAAAGTTCTATAATTTATATTTATAATTATTCAATTCAAAACTATCTTTTATATGCTAAGAAATTGTTTGAATTGAGATATTTTTCTAATTATCATTATTTCTTTAATTGTTAATGTAAATTTATACAGATTTAACTATTATTAAAATGTAGGTTAATGTTGCAATGTTTATATTTGTCAATTTATAAATTTGCTCACTTGCAATCAATCTAGAGAGAGAGAGAGAGAGAGCAAAAGAGAGAATCAATTTAATCAATTTACTGTACATTTTCAAATTATAAAGATAAAAAAGTCAATTGAAAAATCATGATTTAAATTTTTAAGCAAATTAATTTTGAAATAAATGTATATGAAAATAAAAATCATACAGAGAAAATAATATTTGAATGTTATGTAAATAAAAAATAAAAATTAGTGAATTTGCATAAAAAATTCAAATCAATATAAAATAATAGTAATAGAAAAAATAAAAATTTATGTAAAGATCAGAAAACATTAATTATATAAAAAAGACATCATTAGATAATTTTGTTGATTTTTGTTATTCTTTAGTAATTCTACGAGAAAAATTTGATACGATGCATTCCTTAAAAAGGATAAAAGGAATAAAAAGTGAAAGAGTGGATAAAGAAGAAAAAAAAATATCATTCTTTATAACACTTATTTTATATAACTATATAATATTTGAAAATTTGGTAAAAAGTTGTTAATGAATGGATAAATATTACGAAGAAATATTATATAAGTGTTACGTGAATAATAATGAATATTTACGTAGAGAGTAAATATGTTACATAAATAATACGTAACGTTAATTGTATATTAAAGTATTAAAAGTTCTATTATTATGAAATAGAATATCTCGCTCGCATCAATTCTTCTATCCAGTCCATGTTTCCACAGCACATCACTCTCTTCATGTTCTCGCCGTCTCTTATGGTGTCCCATTTAGTGACCGCATAATATAATGCTGCTTCTTTCAAACGTGAATCTCCAACTTCCCATGCCAACATTAATATCTCGTCCCAATTATCATTATTAACCATGTCTGCAATCCGATCAGCCACCATCTCCCCAAATCTTTCAAGATTTAACATATCTGCTTTCGAATAAACATCTTTTAATATATCAAATCCTATACTATCTTCCAATTTTCCAGTATAAAGGAAATATAATATAGATCGAAATGTGTTATATTCCATACGTTTAATCGGTATCGTCTTCATTTGTCCTTCTTTCCATTTATCTCCCAGTAATTTTTCAAAATATGTAGATCTTGTAGCCAGAATTATGCGATGAGCTTTAATCCTTGCACCACAATCAAATGTAAATTCTACATCACTAAATTTTCCATCATCTAAATGTCGTTTAAATGATGGAAATTCAGCTTCATTATTTTCAACTGGTTTATCTATTAAGTCACTGGTAGAAGTGGTGTTAAGGATTTGAACTCTTATAAGTAAATCAATTTCCGCAGTAACATCATTATTCGGGAAGAGACTTTCAAAAGAACAGAATCGATGCCGACCAAAATCATCTAATCCATCAAATTCAAATTTCATAGTAAATGTTTCATTTCGTATCAAAACTGGAGTTGAATCAGATGTGAGACGAAACACTTCCAATTTAAAAGTTTTTTCTCTACTTGTAATGTTTGTTTGTTTTTCATATGGTGTTGGTATAGCTACTAAATATAATGAGATATGTGTCTTTGCTGCCTCATTGACACCGTTGGGATATAATTTAATTCTCCATAAATATGGATGATCGTTTTGTTTGTTTTTCGTTGATAAATCATTCGTTAATGGTGGACGTGGGGACCAGAATCTGTCACTTAATACAAAACCAGTATTTGGATAAAAGTTGACAAGCTCATTAAAGCTTCTGATCTTCCAAGAATAAGTGAAATGATTTTGAATATGTTTCGAAGGTAGTTGTCGCGTTGCCTGGTCTGTAGTCATATCACGAGTTTCGTTACTTCTAATTGGAACCGAAGGTCCACTTTCCCTATTAAGTCGTGACCGCGAACGGATAAACCGTTTTCTGGTTGTTATTGGAGCCATATTGAAGTATACAATAGAAAAGAGATTGTCAGAAAGTAGTAATATAAGAATATTATTTCAAGAAAAGTTCTTGAACAAGATGTATTAATTCAGAATAACAAAGAATTTAAAAAGTATAAGTTTATGATGGATTAACCCTTTAAGGACTACACCAAGTACGTACAAAGAAAATTTATTGGGCATCAAGAAAGTACTCGCGGATACGGGAAAGAGAGAAACATTTAAATAATAAAAAAATAAACTGATGACGTTTGAATTGGGGGAGTTTCTATAAAATCTGACCCCCATTGTGTGATTAATTTATTATATTGTAGCAAGTAAAAAATTTGGGTTACACTCATTGTCAAATGGACCTTGTTCTTTGCCTAATATAGAACTTATATAAAACTAAAATATTTCGACCCTATTATATATTCACTTTTTTTTTTTTTTTTTAACGTTTTAACATTTTTAACGTTTTAACATTTTTAACGGATTAGCAGGTCTTATCCATTAATCAAATATGCCAATTGTACGAATTGGACCAAATTATTCCTTCCTTCAAAAATATAATGTTAATGATGATAAAAATCCAATTTTTATCAATTCAACTCATTTCACTGGTTATATTACCTTTCGTTTAAAAAATCATCATTATAAAGATGAAAATGTTACAAAAACTTGTACATATTTTGAAAATCATAGTCGATTATTTTCAATACAATTTCAAGGAAGATTCAAGCCAACAAATTCCAATCGATCAAATCATTTGTGGTCCTTTGATGATATATTTTTTTGTGCGGAAACTGAAGAGTCCACAAATCCTCCCATTGGATCACAACTTGCAGTAAAATTTGCACAATTTATTGATCCAGGATTTATGGCAGATAAAATATTCAATTCAAAAAGACCTTGGTGTGGAAGTTATCTTATTTGTGGAATGAATGTAGTTAAAGTTATGAAAGTTAATAATGATGCTAATAATAATAATAATATTGATAATTTTGATAATGATGATGATAATGTTGACAAAAAAAATAACCAAAATATTCAAAATATTCAAAATATTCAAAATTTTCAAAATATTCAAAATAATAATAATGATAATCCATTATTACCAGTGGGCCCTTGGGTTAATTATGGTAAAAATTATATTAAAGAAGATACATCTCTCATTCATCACGAACATGAAGAAATCAGTTTAGATTCTTCAAAACGTCGTTATTACTTTTTAGATCCTTCCATACGTAATTCTCACTTCTTTGATCCTTCTCTTGTTTATGCCTTTGATTTTTTTAATAACTTTATAGATTTTTCAATGATGAATGCAAACATGATTATTAAATTTAGTATTAAAAAAGTTCTTGTGAATCAACCTCTTAGATTTGTTTGTAGAAATTACGACGGTGATGCCATTTTTTTCGTGATTGAAATTGATTATTCTGATATTTGTTAACTTAATGTCAGATTTGTTTTAAATTTTGATCAAATCATTTTCAAATTTCGATCTCAATTTGATTACAATTAATAAATTTATTTATTATATTATTATTATTAAAAGTATTAAAAAGTGTTATTTATTATCATAATTGTGTTATTAATATATTAGATATTGATATTTATTCTTGCAAATAATAAAATTTTAAAATAATTTTGTAATAAAATTCATTGTTTAGATTAAAAGGTCAAATCTATTTACTTTATTATTCGGATTCTTCCCTTTCATTTTGATTTTCTTCTTTCTCATATGATGTTAATGTTTCCATTTGACTGGTTTGACTAATTTGCTCTACCTGTAATTCCTGTGATGAATCTTGTTGTATATTTATTTCTTCTGGCGTTTTCTGTTTCGATTTATCCTTTTTAGCAGATGTGAAATCCGTACTTGAACAACCCCTACAAAGAAAATGTAATATATATATATTATTTATTTATTAATATTCCTTTTTTTTTTTTTTTTATAAAAAAAAAAAATAAAATAAAATTAATAAAAAGTTACACTTCAAACAATAACTTACCTGCAGCCACATAAAACACATTCAACAATACGTCCTTCTTCTAGTTTTGATTTGGGTACGCGACATATACAGGTCGTTCCAAAATTTGTGTCTTTAGGTTGAATACATCGTAAACAACAAAGACGTTCAAAACCCGGCTGTTTTACAAAGAATTTAAATTAATTGAATGTAAAAAAAAATACGACCAATAATAAAGTAACTTGTATAAAAACCTTCTTCCATTTCGCAATCAAATTTGCGTCCGCGTATCCCAGTTTTAAACAATAATCATAGACTTCCTTCGATATAGCTTCACGTTTATAGTACAAATCATAAATATACCGTGATCTTTGGTGATGCAGACGAAAAATTGGCCACAGAGATTCAACACGTCGTTTTCCTTCATGCGGTTCATTTTCAGCTAAAGAAAATAATAATTCAGTTTCACTTTTTTTTGGTGAATTAAATGAATTAAATTTATGTTACCATCTTTCATTTTCTGGGCAAACTCTAGCAAAGTTGGTTCAATGTCTTCGAAACCTTCCGGTGGTTTTTTGGTTCGTGAATGTTTAATTTTTGGCATGTCGAAATTTACTAAAATTACTGAGATTCTTTGATTCCTAGCTTGATTATTTTTGATCAGCAATAATCACAATAATCACGTGTTGACCGTATAATCATGCGATCAAGTGAAAGTTGATTTTACGCGTCTTTGTTGAATTTATGGAATCTAATATTAAAAGAAACGGAAATATCTTACATCAAGATTTACAAGCAAAATGTATGAAGGACTTTACAATCCCTTCTTTAAGAGATGGACCTTTAACCGAATCATACACATATCATTCACCGCTACCCTCTTTGTTGACAGCAAATAAGAATGAACCTTGTATCTTAGGTATTGATGAAGCTGGAAGAGGCCCAGTTCTCGGTTTGTTACTAATATAATCTTTGTTATCTATTCTTTTTTACATTATAAATTTAAAATGAAACATTTTAAATCTAAAGGACCTATGGTCTACAGTATCTGTTATTGTACATTTTCCAAATATGACCAAGTTTCAAAAATGGGGTTTGCAGGTATAAATAAAAAAATCTTTTTTTTTTTTTAATCTTGACATTTTTTTATTAATTAATTTATATAATTACAAAAAAAGATTCCAAAACTCTCAAAGAAAGTGATCGTGAAACATATTTTAAAATAATACAATCACAACAGGATTGTATTGCTTGGAGTGTTAGAGTAATATCACCTCAGGATATTTCTTGGAATATGTTGAAAAGGTTGGTTTTAACGTATCATTAAACCTTGAATTCAATAATTTAAAATTAAATCTTGTAAATTTTATAAGGGATAAATATAATTTAAATGCCCAGGCACATGATACCACCATTCAATTGATACAAGAAATATTAGATCGGGGAGTAAATGTAAATGAGGTGACTGGAATATTCTTTAAAAAAGTTTTTTGCTTCTAGAATTTTCACATTCTAATTGGATAATCTTTATTTAAAGATCTACGTTGATACAGTAGGTCCTCCCGAATCTTATCAAGTTAAACTTTCGAGAATCTTCAATGGAATAAATATCACTGTGGCAAAAAAAGCAGATAGCTTATATCCAATAGTAAGCGCTGCAAGTATTTGTGCAAAAGTTACACGCGATCATGTCCTAAAGAATTGGATTTTTGCTGAGAAAAATTTAAATTTAAATAATTCTTTTGGATCAGGATATCCCTCAGGTCTAACAACATTTCGACATGTCACTCATATCACCCATATCACCCGTGTCACTCACTCATATGTTTGATTATTATAATATATAGATCCGAATACTGTTAATTGGTTAAAAGAAAATACGGATGATGTGTTTGGATTTCCTCGAATAATAAGATTCAGCTGGGCCACATGCGAAACAATACTAAAGAAAGATACTTTTCCTGTGATATGGTATAATTTTCTTTAATAAATACATCTAATTTTTTTTTATGTACTTAATATACATAATTAAATGTTATTTTATGTAATTTTTAGGCCTGAAGAAGAAACCTCTTCTCAGGATCCCATAACCAGATTCTTCACAAAAGATGAAAAAGAAAAACCATTCTCAAAGTTGTTGCAAGAGATGAAAATAAATTATGTGTCAGAATTTTGACTAGTATAACTTTTTTACGATGTCGATATTCTTTTGAATCTATGCAATAGGATTTAAATAAATAATAAAAATAATGTAAGAAATTTACGAATGTTCACCAATCTTTTTATTATAAAATCAATCTTTCCCGAAAAATATCACTGTGACAGTAATATCATCTCGCCATCTTCTAGACATGGGTGCAGGAAGAGATAACATCGCACATAAAACATCTTCAGAAGCACCCCCGAATGCATTACGTATCAAATGAGTAGATGCATTTTCGTCCACATGTGCAAATTTATTTTCAAATTCTCCGATAGGAAGTACTTTAGCTTTAATGTCGTTGTCATCACCTTTTTTGTTGCGTTGACCTTCAATTAAATTTCCCACAAGTTTTACGACTTCCTCATTTGATAATCTATCCCAAAGTCCATCCGTTGCTAAAACCAAAAACTTGTCTTCCGGACCAATTTTATGATGAGTGACTTCAGGCCTAGCTGTAACATAGGGTGGAGTTTTGTATCTGTCTCCTCCTGGAGTTCCACGTTTTTCATTGAAAAATTTGGAAAAAATCAATTCTTGTAAAGATTTGTCCCATTTAAATCTTGATTGATAGATAGAAATTTAGATATATATTAATAATTTGATTAAATTAAGGTTGAAACTAATGATTATGATAGAAACATACTTTGAATCTCCAAATGCACGTGTTGGTTCCAATGATCCAAACATTCTACCCTTTATAACAATATTACCTTCTTCACCGGGATGTTCTTTATCTATTCTTTTTATTTCCCTTTCATTTCTGCCTGTTTGGTCTTCACTTAACTGAACTGCTTTCCATTCGTCAGCTTTTGAATCATAAACACCAAGAGTTGCTCTTGAATCGCCAGTACAAGCAACGTAAAGATCTTTGGTAGCTGAGTCAATATATGCAAGTAATGCACAAGAACCAGACAAAGCTGATAATAGGTTTTCATTAATATAAGATAATCCACCCATTTCACTTGGTGGGGTATTCAATAATCTTCTAATTGAATGAAAAACAATTTCTTCATCTAATTCAACAAATCCATTTTGAATAGCTTTTATAATTAATTCTTTTTTATTTGGAAACAATTTGGCATATTCTCCATATCCATCATAAGCTTTGTTGAGTTGTTCTTTAACACTTGGAATCAACTTTTTACTTAATAATAATGAAGTATTCCAACCAGCGTGACCATCAAATACTCCAAAAAATAATCTATCCTCTCCACTTTTTGTATTGGTGTCGATTTCTTCACTTTTAAAATCCTCAATTGGGCTATTTGATTCCAATTGATTTGTATCATAACGATATACTCCATTATTACGTTGTAGTAAAAATGAGACTTGATTTTTACGTAATTTTGATGTAGCTTCAGCAGGTGAAAGAATGATTTTATGATGTTGATAATCTGAATTATTGATAAATTGATTTCCTTTTTTGTTTTTAAAATAATAATAAATTACTCCACCAAGTCCTAAAATAACTATCGAACCAAATGTATATTTAAGACGGGAAGAATTTTTATTTTCATTTTGAGAGTTTTGACCTTTGTTAACATTTAAGGTTGAAAATCTATTATACCGAGTTACATTATGATAAGGAATTTTTGATATTCGCACGATGTATTTTTTATGAGCAAAACGATAACCAAACGTTGCCATGATGATTGACGAAATTGAAATCAATGTTAATTTAATGTCACGCTAACCTGAAATTAGTGATGTGTAACATCGTACAAAAAAAGTGGTGCTATAATTTAATAATTATTAGTCGCGAAATGGCACTACTGTATATATGTAAATTCGAATCCACAGTTTCTACAGAGAAATTTATTTCTTCAAATTAATTAATGTTCTACTTTATACAGCTTATTACATGGTTTGGTGAATTATCAAGTCAATTTCGATATTTCGTCATTCTATCACTATTACAATTCGAAGAATTTTTTTTAAATAATACTCATTAAAATATCTATTTCTCTCTCAATTGGTCGGTCGATAAAAATTATTTAAAGAGAAAAAAAAAAAAAAGAAAACATAATAATCATCGCTAAAATTAATTTTCAATTACATTTATCACATCTCAAGGAATAGTTTCCATGAAATATAAACTCCTTGACATTATGTATATGTTAATGGTTGAAGAGTTATTTTACAAATGTAAGTCTTTAGAACCAAAAACAATCGAATGTTTTTTACTATATTATGTTCAAAGACTTATGGCTAAATCTTATTTTGAATATAATATGATATGACGGAAGTTAATATAGGTTTTTATAAAGTTTGATAGTCAATTTTTTTTATTAATAAAAGTTGGTATTCCAAGAGAAGGTTCATTATTTCTCTATTATATAATCAGCATCTAAAAATATGTAAGTACTCCATAAATAATCAGTTAACTTGTGAGTTGTTGGTCGTTTAAAAGGATGCATTGATATAGATAACATTTTGTAATCAAATTTAAAATCATGTCAGGGACCTTTGGTCTTACACACACCATTAAATATAGATATCATGTTTTTGGCCAGCAAATGGTTTGTTTCCAGTAGCCACTTCATACATAATTCCACCAAAGCTATAAATATCCCCCTTCTTTGTAAATTCATTTCCTCTTAATATCTCCGGTAGAATATATGGAATTGAATTATAAATCATTAAATCAGGGTCTATTATTACATATAATAAATCTAAATCTAGCTTAGAATTTTTTTCTACAGTGCGGAACCTCTATAATAGGAACTTAGTTATAATAAAAATTATTCAGTCTTTTTGCATTAAAACTTTATTTACTATATATAGAAATAA